GGGAGATCTGCAAATATAATGCTACTGATGATGATGATAATGGTAATGATTCTGAGAGTTGCTATGAGCACCTACTACGTGCCAGACACAGAGTTGGTGAGAATTTCACATTATCTCACTTAATACTCACAACTGGCTCCTGGCATATATGTTATCATCTCCATTTGATACATGAGAAAAGATTAAGTCACTCACTCAAGGTCACTTACCAAGTAGTAGAGCCAGGCTTTGCACCAGGAGAAATGAGGCTAAGAGGTTCTAAGGGTATGGGAATCAGATGCACCACTGTTGGGGTAGGAAGGAATCTGGAAAGAAGATAAGGTGAAGTCTGGGTCTGGCAGAGCCACTGCAAGGGATGAGGAATAAAAGGCAAAGATGGTAGGTGCTGGACTATAAGGACTTGAAAGTCAGTACAAGGACTGTGTTCAGTTTAACAAGGCCATGGGGAGCCACTGCAGGGTATGTTTGCACGAGCAGATTTGCCCTTTAGGAAGATTAATTGGATAGCCATGTGGAGGATGGATAAGAGCTAGGGGAAATACAGTGTTAGAGGTCATGCACAGATCCAGAACCTCCAGACCCTGAACAAAGGCATTAGCAGCAATAAGAGAGAGGAGGGTGGGAATGTAGGAGTCGTGGTAAAGCTACAGTCTCCCAACTTCTTCTGCACCCCTACGCCAACTGTACTCACCAACTGCTTGTGTGATCTGCTATACATGGTCTACCTTCCCAGCCAACTGCACACTGTTAGAGAAAATGCTGAGACCCCCTTCTTCTCAGCCATAACCCCAGTGCCAGAATAGTGTCTGGCAAGGAGCAGGTGCTTAAAGAATACAGTATGAGTTAATGAATGTGTGGGTGGATGAATGAATGAGGGATTTACTGACTGGGGTTTTCACCTGAAGCAACTGAAACAAAGGACGCCTCCCCCAAAAAAGGATGGCTGGGGGAGCGAGGATGAAACTGATCGTTGGACAGATTGAGGTGGAGATTGTTTGTGTGGCAACAGGCAACAGAGAACTAAATGTGCAGGTTTGGGAGAAAAAGATAGATGATAGGTAGATAGATAGATAGATAGATAGATAGGTAGATAGATAGATAGATAAATAGATAGATAAATAGATGCACTAAATCTCTAGAAGTAGATGAGATTTCTACAGGAGAAAAAGGGTGCAGTGAGAAGGGAGAATTTGCTTAGAAAATTCCTACATATTAAAGGGAAGGAAAGGAGCTGGCAAAGGAGAGAGAAGACCTATCTGAGAGGGAGAATGAAATCCACAAGCGTGCTGTGTCACAGAACTCAAGAGGAGATTCAGGAGACTGAAAAAATTGAGGGAGGGAGTCAGCAGCAGCACGTGATGCTGCAGAACGAGGAGGAGGGGAGGGCACTGAAAACACTCTGGGTCTGGCATTCAGGAAACCTACTGGTAACTCTGACCAGGGAGTTTCCGGGGTGGTGCGGAGGCAGCAGGTTTCCGGTCTCATACTGCAATTGGACTTGAGCTGGAGGTGAAGACATGGAAACACCAAGTGTAGACCCCTCCCTCACAATGTCGGGCAGAGATTAATGGGAATTCAGGGTTCAGGGAAGGAGTTGGAGGAGGGGGTCCAAGACATCTATGGAGATGACACTGAAAATGGGAGGAAGAGGGGGTGGTAAAGAGACCAAGAAGGAGGTGGAATGAGAAAGTTCAGAGCACAAGCAGATGGACTGGCTTAGAATAGAAGGAAGGGAATCCCCTAAGAGCTAGGAGAGGGGAGGTTCCAGAAGCCCACGCCAGATGGAATTCATCATTTTGATAATAGCCACTGTTTACTGAGCACCCGCCATGTGCCAAACACACTGCAATGATTATCTCTCACCTTTCAAAGTAGAAGCACAATCTTCTTTTTATAGGTAAGACCTGGTATCAAAGAGGTTAGGTCAGTTACCATTGCACAGCCTGAAAGTGACAGAGTCAGTATCTCATCAGGTAGGCCTGACCCCAGTGCTCATGCCCCTTCCGCTGCACCCCAAGCTGAGATATAAGAGGAAAGTCACCTGCTAAGGGGGATCAGGAGTAGTCTTGACCTTGAGAAATAAACCATTAGGCTAGGAGACTCTCAACAGAATGAAGAAGATATTACTTAAATCTGAGGATCACTTCTTAGCTTTTGGTTGAGATCAAGTGCTTAACAGCTGGGAGAGGCACACTGGACTCGGGCAGCAGGACTTTGGGGTAGACCCAAAAGCTTGGCTAAGTAACCTGAACAGGCTAAGTTAGGGCCACCCTGACCAACAGAGATGTAAACATTGATAAGACTGTCCTTGAGCAGATGGGCTTTGAAAATTTGGGGAGAAGTGGCAGAGATAGTCCATATTTACTGGATAAGTACATGAAAGCAAAGGTGAAATTCTGGTGATACAGTGATGGTATAGTGTGTTCAAGTGGTGCCCACAGAATAGCCAGGGGTAGATGTCCAAGAGAAGCCAACTGTATTTCTTTGACCTATTCATTGTCTGTTTCTCTACATACACATGTGAGCATGTGCACGTGCACACACACACACACACACCACCTTAGAACATAATCTGCATGAGGATAAGGCTTTGTTCACCAGTATATCCCCAGTGCCTAACACATCAACTGCTACATACAGATGCTGAGTTAATACTTGTTGCATGAATGTAGGTGGAGATCTGTGGCCCAGATAAAAGATCTGGGGGTCTCAGTGTCAGTTGTCCTTAAAACCCCCACAGTGGAAGAGTTCCGCCAGGGAAAATATAGAGAGGAAAAAGAGGCAGGGTCTGAGGTCAGAGTCCTGAGGAATAAGCTTATGTGAGGGCAGAAAGAAGAGGATCCAGTAAAGGAAAGAGACAAAGGAAAGGAAGAGAAGATGTGGGGGAAGGGGAGGGTACAATGGGAGATGGAGAAGGAGGAAGAACAGAGTCATAGAGCCAGAGGGAGAGAGGGGTCCGAGGATGCAGTGGGGAAGTCAGCCAAGCTGCAGAACTACTCAGATATAAATCCTGGAGAAAGCACTGGAGGATCAGATGGTTATGAGAGAGACCTGCCAGAGGCATGCAGCAAGTCAGGGACAAAGCTGGTACTGAAGCCCAGGTGTCCTGACTACTCATTTGAAACACTTCAAATTAGAGTCCTGCATCTTCCACCACCACCTGCTAATTCCTTGAGCTCTATGTATACACTGAGAATGTACTCGAGAATCCCTGAAATCACTTGATTACATTGTCCACTTCCTGGTTTTAGAATGAAGTTGTTTCCCAAGGTCTTAAATCTATTGAAAACATCTTGACTGAACTGTACAACCTTTAAGCTGAGATTTCTGGGTCAGGGTGGGTTCCGTAACATTTCCTGGAGTGCCTTTCTTTTTGGCCTAAATGTAGTCTAAGTAAATATGTAGTCAGTAATGGCTCCATCTACACCACAAGCACTTGATCAGTATCTCTTCTCCTTCACAGATCAGTACAAGGTAGCCTTAATATCCCCCCATTTTGCAAGGAGCAAATTGAATCTCTCCCAGGGACCCATAGACAGTAAGTGTTAAACCTAGGGTTCTGAACCAATTGTGTCTGATGCCAAAGCCCTTGAGGCTATTCTCCCCATTATTTCATGATTTTCTCTACTCCAAAACAGCCTATCAAGAGGTCTGATCCTCTTGATAATCTTTTCTGATCCTCAGATAAGCTGTTGGTCCCCATGCTAGAAAAACCTCAGCCTGCCAAGAAGATTTCTCATTTTGAAAGAAATGGGAAAAATCCATCAAAGAAGAGCCAGTGACCTTGAACTAAACCTGGTTGCAATATCCAGCCCGGCTTCTCAGCCACCATTTCCCAGGATTTCTTTTTTCTCTCTAGCAAACCATAAAGACTCCAAGGCCTTGGGAGTAGGCCTGGCTTCAACTGACCACCAAAACACATTGTACTTTGGACAGCCCATGGTTGTCCCCACTCATACATGGAAAGAGACTTGCGGTGGCTTTGTTCAAGAGCCACTGAAACTGAGTGGTGAAAATAAAAGTAAACTGTCTGAACTGGAGCACTGGGGTTCATCTCAGGGTGTGAGGGAACTGGTAAGAAGGAAGCTAAGGGTGAAGTTTCCAGGCCTCTATTCTTCCCCTCCCCACCGTTACTGTTGGAAGAGTTCCATTTTTACATGTTTTACATACTGTGATTCCTATTAAGATTTTATTTGGATAAAATCTTCTGAGGCAAAAATGTAACAATAAAAAGATAATAAAAACTGAAAGTCGGTGATTTAGGGGGAAGGGAAGGAGAACAGTAGCAGAGCGCTGATAATGCCCATGCTAAGTATTTCGAAGGCCCTAAGCCCCAAGAAGATTATGTTTCCAATGCCCCCCATGTGTACCTTGAAATAAAAATCAATATTAAGCTACAAAACACAAAATTTACTTGTATGTTGCAATAAAAATAACTGATTTCTCCATTTGTCTCATTTTCACAGTCTGGGTATGCTCCTCCAAGCCTGCTGTTCCCATTTCTGTATGCACCTCTATTTGTTGGGGCCCTAAGCACAAGCTCAGGCATTATGGGTTGATCCAAGGACCTGGATGGATTCTTTCCAATCTCTACAGTAGCCCTGGAAAAGGCACTGCCATTTCTGTCTCAGACAGGAGGAAACTGCAGGCTTAGAGGTTAAGAGAATTGCTGAAGATCACACGGCCCATAACGGATGAGGGTGGCATAAAAACACAGCTCTGTCTGACCCCAGATTCCAGGGTTATTCCAATACTCCTGGCTTTGATCAAGTTAGAGCGTTGTGGTCAAGATAAAGGCTTTAAAATAGAGATCAGAAGCCATTTGGTAGCACACGTGTTTCTGTACATAGCAAGGGCTCAACAAATTGCTGCTTGCTCCTCCTCACTAGCCTCAGACTCTGGTCTCTACATCTGCACCGGAGGGAAGCCCCAATGTGTGGAATTCCTCCACCCACCTGGGCAGAGTTCTCTCCCGTGTGACTTCCATCTCCCTCTTCCAGGTCGAAGCATCTCTCCCCAACAGGCCAGCCAGGAGCACAGCGTGCAAATTCAGCCGTGGGCTAGCGCAAGCTAACCAGAACCGGCAGCATGGACTTTGTCATGAAGCAGGCCCTCGGAGGTGAGCCCCACACCACTCTGCCCCACACCATACACCCCCAATCCGGGGTCCTGACCCAGGTGAAAGGGGACCTCAGCCCGTCTGTACCCTCCCTCCCCAACCCTGTCCCCTACGTGACCCTGCTCTTTTTCTCCCTGCACCCCCACAGGGGCCACCAAGGACATGGGGAAAATGTTGGGTGGAGAGGAGGAGAAGGACCCTGATGCACAGAAGAAGGAGGAGGAGCGGCAGGAGGCTCTGCGGCAGCAGGAAGAGGAGCGCAAGGCCAAGCATGCACGCATGGAGGCCGAGCGTGAGAAGGTTCGGCAGCAGATCCGAGACAAGGTCAGCATCTCAGGAAGGGTAGCGGAAAAGAGGAGTAAACTGGTGCCCTGAAACCCTGTCCTCAGGTTCCCCAGGATCCCAGCTTTCACCTTAGACCTTGTACTCTCTGAGCCTCACTCTTCTGATCAGAAAAATGGGTGTCACAGCAAGGTTTCCCTCAAAAGATGACTGTGAAGATTAAATAAAATAATGCACATAGTAAGTGCTACAGGTCCAAGACCCTTAGGGCCAAATACGTGTGGAATGCAGAATCTCTGGATGCTAGAGAAAATCCCCTAGTGCCCTGAGCACCTGGTACTATTGTTCTACCTCACTCCCGATGGATGTGGGGCAGCCACCTATGCTACACAGTTCAGTGCATGTCTGGGAGCACTAGGTAACAAATCAAGGCTAGTAGTCAGTCTTCTCCCGGTTCAAACCCAGGGTTGTCACCAAAATTTGACTCCAGAACTATCAGTGTTTAAATTTTTGGGATTTCAAAAGAGCAACAAGTTATTAGGGGCAGGTATGAATGTTTAAAAAAACCTCAGTCACTATCTCTACCTTTTTAGTCACCTGCTGAGGACCAAGTACCTTTAACCCCACTTTCTAGATAAGGAGACTGAGGCTCAAGAAGTGTTCATGAGCCACATCAAACAAATGTGCATGACTCAGAGACCCAGCTCTGTCATTCCCTCGTCCCATAGTCACACTCCTTTCTGTCCTCCTCCTCCCCCAGTATGGGCTGAAGAAGAAGGAGGAGAAGGAGGCAGAGGAGAAGGCAGCTCTCGAACAGCCCTGTGAGGGGAGCCTGACCCGGCCCAAGAAGGCCATCCCTGCAGGCTGCGGGGACGAGGAGGAGGAGGAAGAGGAGAGCATCCTGGACACGGTGCTCAAATACCTGCCTGGGCCGCTGCAGGACATGTTCAAGAAGTAACAGGCGCTCCTGCTCCAGCCTCACTCCACTTGTTACTTTTCTTTTGTTCTTTCTTTTCTTTTTATTCAGTTAAGTCTCAGTTCTGAAGGGGAAAACCTCAGTTGGCCTCTGCCCCTCTTCCCTGGCCAGGGGCTTCTCCCCATCAGCACTCTCTGACACCCCACTTCATCCCAGGGTATCAAGTCCCATGGTACCCCTAGTCTGAAAAGGGAAGACAGCTTTTCTCCAGCAGAGGGCATTGAACCCAGGGCCAAAGGCACTGGATGGCTCCCTCTGGAAGCCTAAGATCTATGTTAGTGTGGAAACCCCCATACATTCCTTCATGCTCCCCACTGCCAGGAGGACCACTGTTCCCAGCCAGCCAAAGTAATGACACATTCCACCCCTGCCCAGCATGCTGACCTTTGGTCTCTGACCCTCCAGTGAGTATCCAGGTCAGGGCAGGGGCCCTGAGGGGCCTGGATCTGAGTCAGGGTAAGCCTGTCTCATGAGGACCTAGCCTGAGAGGCCCCAGGTCTAGACAGGCTAGGATCTGGGCAGGAGGCTGGGGCTCCCCTTTTTTTCTCTCCCTGGTGACACCCAGCTGGGAGCACAACCTTCCCCAAATCCCATCCAGACAGTCATTGCCCCTGCCAGGTTGGTTCCTCCAAATGGATCATCCTTGGACTTTAGCACATCTGTGGAGGAGCCCAGGATAGGGCAACCCCTTGTTCCCTCTCACTCTACTTAGGTCCTGGGACCCCACTGCCAGGCTGGGCCCAGCTTGCCCAATCCAGGGGCTGCCCAGGCCCCCCAAAACACTTGGAGCCATCGGGCAGTGATGGTCTTTGCCATGGGATCCCCCTTTGGTGTGACCAAGCTGCCCCCATTCCTATCCAGCTCTCTTCCCCACTCTGTCCTGTCCATGTGCTTCCAGGGCCCATGGTCCCCAAGAGGACCTTTCCTGGCCAAAGCCCCAAGTTGTTGGGGAGAAGCCAACTCCCATTTGATAGAAGGCATCTGTCCATTCATCCTATTGGCCAAGAACAAACTCTCCTCTGGGATGTATGGGGCTAGCCTTTGCCCCCCACCCACCTCCAGCTTGCCAAGGCCACCTACTTAGCCAGTCTTGTGAGAATGGTGTGGAGCAGAGGGGAGTAGCAAATGAAGGACAAAAGTGAGTTTATGTGTGGCACAGTGTGTAGCAGAGACAGCATCAGCAATTGTGTGACCAGAGATTTGATGCATGTGTGTATGGTTCGAGTGTGGTGTATCTTGAGATTGTCTGTGTGTGTGTTAGTCATCATATTCCATGTTAGAGATCATATATGTTAGGCAGCCTTGTTATATGTGCTTGTTTGAGGTGGTATATTTGATTTGTGATTGTGTCCCATTTGCGAGCCATCTTACATGTGTTTAGAGATTGCATGTGTTTGCTTGTATATGCATGTATTTTCAAAATGGCACGTGTGTTGGGAGAAATGGGTATATGGTAGATGTCACAGAAGTATATGTTTGAAAGAACTGTCAGATGTGTTGACTGTGGTGTTCTTATGTATGGGTCTGAAAAAGCAGCTGTGTCCATGACGTGTGCCTAGAAAGAAAGAATATAGGTAAGATGCTCCCTCTCAGCCCTCAGACCATTGATCACAGGTGGCCACATCTGACAGGAGACTTTGTCCTTCGCCTAGAGTCCTCCCACCCTTGGGGGGTTCCTGCCTGAGGTCCTCAGAATCCCACTGGGACAGACGCAGGCAGTACTCCAGGAAGCCATGCTGGGCCCCCACCAGGGCCTATCCCAAAAGCAAGGGCCAGGGACGAGGCGACTTGCCCACCTCTGATGCCCCTGCCCCATTGGCCCCAGTTTGCATTCTGCGGGTTTTCCATTTTAGTGGATTTATGCTTTTATTTCAGAGAGAGACATGTGTCTTCTCTGTCCGTTTCCAATAGTTAAAGCCATATCAGTTAGACTGCAATACTTTAAAGATGAGATAAAACAATCCATATGTTTAGAGAACCAGAAACTCCCCTGATCTGTCCCTTCTCTGGGGAGCAGGGCCCTGACAGCTCCAGCTCCCTGGGCTTATCCTCCTCCCGCATCCCCACACCCTCCCTGTGTACCCCTGTGTCAGGCCCCCCAGGGGGCCATGTCTGTGTCTGCACCTATGTCTGTGATGGGGAGCCACCTTGCACCCCTGATGTCTGCTTGTCTGTGTCCTTTTACCTGGGCAGGATGGTCATTCTCAAGAGCCCTGGGGTCCTGGGCCAGAGATAAACAAGGCTCAGTTGAGAGGCTCTAGGTTTCCCCAACCCTGTTTGTGAGTCCCGCTGGGACACAGGGGCAGATACCAGCGTTGAGACAGGTCCCCCCTTGACAGGGACCCTCAGACCTTGAAGGCAATGCCCGGGCATGGAGTGTCAAATAGTTGGGGGAGACCAGGGTTGAGGGAGCTGTAAACGAGCAAGGAAACCTAGCCATTCAAGATATCCCAGCCCCTTAGACAGTGTCCCTGTGGCCTCCATAGTCCCTCTAGACCCCAGAGTGGGCTTTGGGTTTTTCAGCCGCACCAAGTGCCCTCTGGGCTGGGCTGGCTTAGTCTGGGTACACCTCCCAGACTCCTCCACCCTGCTCCCAGGCAGCCGGACTTGAGGTCTTCCTGGAGGTGGGGCAAGGGCAAGAATCTCTGCCTGGTGCATCCCTGCCTCCTCCAATGGCAAGTGATCACTGTTGGATGCAGGGGGACAACAATTACTGTCATTTCTAACACAGACCTGACTGTAGAGAGAAGCCAAAGTGTAGCCCAGAGAGGACATCTGTGTCTCTAGCAGGGACAGGGGTGTCCGTGGGATGTGTCTGGGGTAGGAGGTGGCCCACTTGATGGGAGGAGGGATGAGCATGTCACACAGAAATGGGACAGTGTGCCTGTGACACACTGTGAGGGGGAGCAGCTGCAGAATTCAGCACACTCGTCTGACACACAAAGGAGGAGTAATCTTTGGTAAGTGGCTGAGAACAAAATGAAGAGCAATGGAGCGCACACCACCCATGTGGGCACGCGTGCCCTTGGGCAGGGCCACCCGAGCTCTTCCTGTCCCTGGGATTCTCCACTGGGGAGAAGGAAGGGGGTTTCTCTGAGTCTCCCTGTGCTGGGCACCGGCGATGGGCTAGAATTTCCATATGTGGATGTCCTCTACTCCAGATCCAAAACTGCCCCGAAAGTGTGTCCCTTACATCAAACCTTGTAGTGCACTTCTTCAGATGGAAGCAGGAAGTCAACAGCGCATCCCAGGTGCGTGTGGGAGAGCCTGAGAAAGTGAGGAGATGCAAAAATCATTGGAGGTATTGCAGCCCAGGGCTCTTTCCCACTGGCGCAGCTGCTGGGCAAAGCAGCCACACAAAGGCTGTGGCTACAGTAAAGTGAAGAACTTCCCAGGCCCAAGGGGTGGGTTACCAACCCCACCGGAGGGTTCCACAGACTTCTGACTGCACAGGGAGGCTGAAGTCAGACCAGCTCCCAGATCTGAGGACGTGCCTCCACCCAATGTCCCCACTCCAGTCTCCACTATCATTGCCCCCACCCTCTTCCCTGGGGAGAGAATGGGAGGTGCTCACACTGGCCCTGGGGCAGGGCTGGGGGTCCTACTGAGACCAAGAAGAGATGGACCATCCTGCTTACGCGGGGGAAACTTCTTCCCGAATCTGTGCTGTGTCTTTGTTGCTCTGCTTCTTTTAAATGTGTCAGTGCCTGGGGGGAGGGGAGGGCCACCCCCTCATGCCCCCCTGAACCTGACCTAAAGCCATGGCTGTTGCTCCCCCTTTGTATGATGCAAATGCTAAGATGTACAAAACCAACCATGACAACAAAGAAAAAGACCTTGTACAGCAGCTCTCTGTCTGTCTGCCCTCTTCTGTCTACCGGCACCACCAGGGATAAACAGGGGCACCGCCTTACCAGTGAAGGCAGACAACCTACAAAACTCAGGGGTCCAGAAAATCTTCCATTTTGCTTACTCAAGACACCGGAAATGACTCCAAAAATCAACTGAGCCCAGGGTTGGAGCTCGGCCCCAGAATCCCAGGGTTTCTCCATCTGTACATCAACTCTAAAACCCCAAAGGCTGAGAGGGACAGATACACACACACACACACGCACGCATGCATGCCTATGCACACACACACATACACACCTTTTCTGACCATCCCCAAGCTCCTTAGGGTGTGGCATCCTTAGAATGCCATGAAGTCACATGGGAGGGCAACGATCTCTCATCCTGTGAACGCTGACGGAGCATCACCTCTCTGCCAGACAGTGTGCAGGAGTCAGAGACACACAGAGGACAGTACTCAGCATTCCTCCTGGTCACAGACACTTCCCTGGCCTTGCTGAAGAGTCCTGACCAGATCAGAGCCCTCTTCCACTTTGCACCCCCAACACCTTGTCTATAGTTAGGCCTCATTTCTCCCCACTTCCTGCCGGTGTGCCCTGGTCTCCCACATAACTGGTCAATCTCTTTCTTTCATCCATCCTCCATTGGCCCAGCCCCAACTGCATTTATCAAAAATGCAGTTCGTCATATCGCTCATTCCCTTCCCAACACCCTCAAGGGCTTGTAGGATGAAATTTGCCAAGCAGATAACATCCAGATGATCAGAACAGCCCTGTGTGACGTGACCCCAACCTGCTTGGTCAGACCCACACCCACCTTGTTGCTCCAAGTGCCCCAGTCCCCACATAGCCCATACTGCTTCACATTGCAGATCCTGTCCCCTCTGCCTGGCGTGAGTGGTACTTTCCCTCCTTGGCACACTCAGACTTCACAAGATTCAGCTCAATGTCATCTCTGTGAAGTCTTCCCTGATACAATCCCCTGTCCCTTGATCACATCATAGTCTGTTGCTGAATCCACCTAACACAGCATCACAGCTGACTGCTCCAGCAGCCCTGGGTGTGTGCACAGGCTCTATCACCTAGCAGGGTGAGCTTGAGCAAGACTTTTAACCCCTGTGAATGTTTGCTTATACGTGAAGTGAAAAGATAATAATAGCTGTGCCCTCCCCAGAGTAAATGGGGTCCTCCATGCACAAGTTTATCACTGAGGGTCAAGCATTCAGTGAATGGCACTTTGCAAATTCTATTGTAAATTAAGTCACTGCACCTGTCTCCCTAACTTCAGTATTCTATAAGGCAACATATATTTACTCTCTCAGTTTCTGTGGATCAGGAGTCTGGCCACAAGCTTAGCTGGATCCCATACTTCAGGGTCTCTCACAAAGGTACAATCAAGTGTAGGCCAGGACTGGGGTCTCATTAAGGCTTACTTCCAAGCCCATGTGGTTACTGGCAGGATTCAGTTCTACTGAACTGGAAGAACTGGAAGCTTCAGGTCCTTGCTGGCTGTCCACCTGGTGATGGTCCTCTGCTCCTTGCCCTGTGGGATCCTCTGCTGGGACAGCTCAGAACATGGCCACTTGCTTCACTGAGGCATGCAAGCCAAGAAGGCAGTAGAGAGAACCTGCTACCAAGACGGAAGCCACAATGTTATGTAACCTAATTACAGAAATGATGTCCCATCACCTTTGTCACAGATCCTGACCACACTTATAGGGAAGGGATTACAAAAGGCGGTGAATACCAGGGTGGGGGATAACTGAGAGTCTTAGAAGCTGCTCTCCAGGGAGACTGAGCCACAGATCTCCCTTCCCTACAAAGTGCTAGAGTTGAGTAGGGCCTCAGAGTCATCAGAGCTCCAACCCTCTGCAGCCACAGAGTCCCAGGTGGCAGAGGAAGAGTCTCAATACAGAGGAAGAGGCCAATGGTGAGTTCCCCCAAGGACTGAAGGCCTTCCAAGTCCAAAGACTAGACAGAAAGAAAACACTAAAGACCATGGGGTTCCTCTGGAATCCACCTGTACTGTCTACTCAGAACTCCAGGTACTGTCTTCCAGAGATTCAGTTCCTCTTCAGCAAACAACCCCAACGAGGACACACTTAAGCTTTTCATCAGCTCCTACTTCCTCCATTCCACTGGGTGGGTCCCAGTGTACCCTGTGCCCTACCAGAATGAGGTGAGGTAGGCGGATTGGAGGGGTTCGCCGGAAGACAAATTGGCAAGGTAGGATGTGGGGAGCATGGAGGAAAGAGATGTCTGGGCCAATGCCTGCATCTCCTCCTTGGATAGTACTGCTTTCCAAGATCTGGAACTTGGATGTGGGACAGCTTTGGAGGAAGATCAAGAGTTTGGGGCTGCTGGGTGTGAAGTATCTGGGCAGAGAGCAATGGACAATCTGCGCTTCACGCTGGCTCACCCAGGAGAAGCCATGACAGCACTCTGCATGAGCAAGCCCCCAAATGCATCAAGATCTTGACCACTGACTCACCATAAGATCAATACACCCAGAAGTCAAGAAACTGGAGTGGGAAGGGGATTTAAAGTCAAATCCATTTTCCCAAGCAATCGAAGAATTCCTTCTATGCTGTCTCTAGCAGAGGACACTAGCCTGCTTGCATGCCCCGTAGTGTCAGAGAGCTCATTCTAGCCAGACAGCTCTCACTCCTAAACTGAAAGCTGCCAGGAGGCAGAGGGTTAATGAAACTTCCTCCAGCATCTCTCTAATTGACTGCAAAAGTCCGCTTCCAGACCACTCACTTAGCACTTGTAATTAATTGGAGTTTCTTGTCTGACCTGAGAAATGATTCGATACCCCCTGAGGACGATGTTTTCTCAGTTGGGATCCTCTAGCTGGAGACATCTGTACACACCCAGCCTCTCCACAGGCACTGACGTGGGTATGCAGACACCACACCTTCCTCTCTGTATGAGCTCAGACAGGGAACTTGCCACCTCCAAACGTAGAACAAGAAAATGGTACAGACTCAGTAGGTGGCACTAGAGCTGATGTCACCATCTCCTTGGACTCCAGACCCACATCATCTACCCTACCTGGAGAGGGCCCAGGGATCAGCAGCTCTTGGTCACATCAACTCCTGTTCCTTCATTGTGAGAGGCACTTGACATAGTCACGTCTGTGTGAAGGTTAAGGCAGCCCACATTAACATACACAGGAAGAGGGAGGGCGAGAGGCTCTACTCACCACCTGCTGTAGGCCATACACAAAAGTTAATTGCTTTAAAAGCACTTCCTTTCTCCATGCTGATAGCAATCTCTGAGGTCAGTGTTGCTCCTGTTTTACATGTGAGGAAGCTGAGGCTTGGAAGAAGAAAAGTACAATGGGAATGAGCTTTCAACTCAGACAAACCTGGTTGTAAATCCGGATTCTTCCTACCTGATCTTCAGCAGATAACTCAACTGTTCCGGGCCTTAGTTTCATTACCTACTTTAAAAAAAATAAGTACAATAATGTCTAACCTCACCACCACTATCATCAGGGTAATTGAAGAAAGTAAACAAAATATCTGTAGATCCCAAATCACAGCACCTGGCACTCCCTGTTCCTCTCACCGTGAGACGCACTTGACATAGCGATGTCCGTGTGAAAGTTATGGCCACAAGCCATCAGTTTTTTTTAATTACTAGCCGTTGCTATTACAACAGCATGTCTGGTGAAGAAAAATAAGAATAGAAGGAGAGGAAAGGAAGAAGAAATGAAAAGGATAAAAAAAAAATTATAACAAAAGCCCACTAGTCATCCAAAGAATAAATTTGAAACCAAATCTGTCTTATGTCTTTTCACCATAACACAAGACAAGCTGCGAAGTCAGGGTCACAAGAGAGTTAGGGGACAGAAGGGAATAACTATCTCTTTCTGGAAGCTCTCTTGAATCTTCAGCTCAAAATAAACTTAACAATGTGTGGTAGTCATACACTGCATGACAAATTACCCCAAAACTTAGTGGCTTCCAGCAGTAAATATTTAATTTTCTCTCATGGTTTCTGTGGGTCGCAGTTTCTGGTGTGTATTAACTGGATAGTTCTAGGTTGGGGTCACCATGAAGTCACCAGCACCAGTGGCTGGAGCAGTAGTCTCATCTGCAGGGTCATTTGGGCAGGAGGCTGCACCTTTGAGGAAGCTCAGTAACACTTCCAGCAGCTGGGGCTGGCTATTGACAGGAGACACCCTCTCTGGGGAAGCCTCTTTGTAGAACTTGTTGAATGGCCTCCCAGTATGGCAGGTAGCCTCCCCTCTCCCAAAGTGGATTATCCAGGAGAACAAGCTGGAAGCTGCGATGTCACTCATGTCCTAGCTTTGGAAGCTACAAGCCATTGCTTCTGAAGTACTTTGGGGTCACCCAGACCAGCTCTGATTCAGTGTGAAAGACACCACACAAAGCATGACTCTGAAGGGAAGCTCACCGGGAACTGGTCCCTCTTGGAGGCTGCCTACCTCTTGCAATACAGTATATATGTCAGGCTCCCCGTAGCTCTTTCTTCAGGACCAAGTCAGTAAACATTCCTTTATTTAACCATCCACTCAGCAAACATTTCCTTATTCCTTTCTGCCTTCAGCAAACTCTCCCCAGTGGTTATCTACTGAGCTAAGCACAGCCTTCCAGACTTGAACCTGACATGCTCAGGGGAGCTGAGAGTCTGGCATGCAAACCAATACACAGCAGAGCACCAAGAGAAAACATCTGGATTTTTCCCAGACAGACCTGGTTTCAAGCCTGGCTCAAAACTTTGAAACCACTTGATCTGAAAAACTTTATTTCATCTCTCAAAGGCTCCATAAATAGGGGCAAGACCTACAATGCCCAGATATTGTAACCAATTATAAAATCCTGGGCACATAACAAGTTTTGAGTGAATGACAACTAAGACAATTAATGGAAGTTGCAACCCTTCATCTGAACAGCAACTCCTTAAGACTTTCCCTGTACTCCAAGAGAAGGCTGGGCTATTGGATCCCAAAGGTGACCTGCAGTGCGGTG